TAATTATTATAAATAAATATTTATGATATTTTTTTTATTACGTTGTACTATGATTATTGATAAGTGTTAAGTTTCGACCTAAGTATTATAAATTTTTTTTAATTTTCTAGATGTAAACCTTTCTGATATATTATATATATTATATTAGTTTGACAGAGATATTTCAAAATTGTATCTATTGTGTTACGTTTTATTTTATCGGTCGTATAATTGTCGAAAACCTCTGAGTAAATTATACGCGATTGGCGGGTATATGGCATCGTAATTCAAAAGATATATCGTACGTAACGTATTCCATCGTAATAAGAGCCTCGCCACGAATACGCCCGCTAAATGCAGATTACAATCTGCGCTTATACATCGTAGAAATTATACCCGGCGATTATAAACGAGACGTTATTGGATCGCACTTTTCGAAAGCGGGCTTTACGTCCAAGTCCGATAAGAAGCGAGAGCCAATACAGCACCGTCCTCCCCGTGCGTGCTGCATGCGAAAGAGCCGTGCACGCATGTAGGCACACATGCCGCGCGTTCCCTACAGCGGCGAACCTAACGGTAAAAGCCGGGATTCGATTGGTACGCGAGATGCCGACGAGAGTAACGAAGAGGAGAGAAACCGTCGGGCGCGGGAGACCGGTACGAGGGGCGGAAAGGATAATTACCAGGGGAAAGGGGAGGGGGCTCGAGGAATACAGTAAATGGCGGGAAGCGATGCTAGATACCGCGCTTGTGAAGAATGGAAACGATAACGACGATCGAGGACCAATAAACTACTGGTTGCGCACCTCTATCTCGCTAAAGCCGCGGTGTAATTATTCCGGGGCGGAAAAACAAATAATGTATATCGAGGAATCTGCAACGTTACTTTTGCCATGCCGAGCTGAATCCAAGGCCTATTCATCTAATCAGGCCGATAATTCGACGAGAAGGCATCCTGGACGCGCGGCTCGATAACTGGTTTCTAAAAAAATTACATGCTCCTTTCCTGCAGCCGGCGTGTGTGATGGTAGAGAATCTACTATGTAATCGTGTTCTTATAAATAACTGTCATTCGTGTCTAGCATATCAAACTATTATTTTATACAATGTAAAAAAGAATTTCTGCTATATATCTGAAAAATAGTTTAATTTTTCACGCATATTTTAGATAGCTGTTGGATTTTTCTCTTGTTTGATATTTTTATACTTTGCGTTTACGAAACCTATCGACTTTGAATTGTACGCGATCTCACCGAGCTAATTTTTGGCGGTAAGATTTGCGAGAAGACAACGTAATAGTGGAAAAAATTATAAATAATTTTGCCGTATATGCGATTTTAAAATTAGAATGCGACTCGTGAGCATCGAGCGTGGCTAACGACACGCCAAAGAAGCCGAGGGAAGAGAGGCGCTGTTAATATTATACGCTGGCATTCGATGTTCATCTACATAAGCAGATGCGCGGTTTATTACATGGGAGATGAAATGGTAGGACGAGAGGCGCGCGCGTGCATGTACGACGGCTCCGCATCGCGAGGTATGTGGGCTTTTTTCAAGGTGTCGCGTAGTTTTGCCAGAAATCGCTGAAATGTGTATGCGTAAAACCGCGTTTTTCTCTTGAACATTAGTCGGTCGTTAACTCAATCTCTCGGCTTTTCAATACCTTTTTACGTCTTCCGTACTTTATTCTTTCCCATTAGTATGCAATGAAAGTATCACCCCGGTATTGCGAACGACGTGTGACGTGATTTTACTCAAAGTTTGTTCTTCACTCTGTTAAGAGCGACAAAGAGGCGAACGAAAAGTTTGAAATGTAATTGAAATCTGATATAATCTCGAGATTAAATGACTGATAATCGTAGCAAATGGATCTAACTGTTTTATTGACGAGATGGCCGTCAATCAAACTTTCAATCAAACTCTGAGCATCGGGATAATCTTGCGAAATCAAAGGAACCGGCGTTTGCGGCTTCTGTGTTCTATATTCTTAATTTATATGTCTGTACGCTCTCTCTTCTTTTCTCTGACGTAACTCAACATTCCTATGAATTGCTCGAATCACTGCTCCTCCTGCGGCACACGTCGGTTTCTCCGTGAATGCGTCCGCGCAGCCGGCGTAATTATTCGCTGAAATGGCGCTTAACTTGCCGGTAATTTCGCGAGGGCCAATCACTTGCGAAACCACCATGTCGCGCGAGGGACACGTCGACGCGCGCTCACGTAAGCGTCATTATCGTCCTGGCCGCTCAATTTCAACGAGTCGGGGTTCTGTTCCGATGGCCTCGGGTTGCGCGGAAAGCAACGGCCGTTTAATATTCGTGACTTTTTATTTTAGTTCCTGCGCGGGCCCGCGTGCACGCAATCGACTTTGAAACTCTACGCCTTTACGATGGCGCGGTGACTTCAGTCACCCTGGAGCTCCATCAGAACCTTTCGTACCCACACCGATCCAATCCGATCGGTATCTCCAATCAGCAGTAGATACGTCGCCCGGTAATGTACATTCACGTGCATGTCGTCTAACGGTACCCCGCGGGAACAAGAATCCCGCGTGGTAGAAGGACGTCAGTGTGTCGATCATGCTGGGATTCGAGACCGTGCGGAGAAGACTGAGAAAGGAGGATTGAATAACACGAATATAGAGTTTCTTCTTCTCCTTCTTTTTTTTTTTTTTTATCGTTTCAGCGAAGTAACTCACCGTTGTTGGCATTGGTATGTTTCACGAGCAAAGATTTTGGAACGAAGCGAATGACATCATGGATCCTCCTATTGCTTAATTAATGAATTGTGCCGTATGGAAAAAATGAGTTTATGGAAGATTGTGGCATAGCGTGAGATATTAATTCCACGAAAACAAAAGTTCAATTTAGAGAGGTTCTCTATAATACTTTATCTTCATATAATACAATGTCATATTAAATAGAAAATACTGATTTATGGTACTATAATATTAAATATAACATTAATAGAGAATAATATCTTTCACCCTCTCTTTCTCTCTCGAATAATATATCCGTTAATATACATATTAATTTTTTTCCAGCATTTTAAATAATATCATAATTTGGATTGCGTTTGATTATTGCATTTGATATAATATTCTTGTTGCAAGATTGTAATATGGCTACCGCACAGTTGAACAGAGCCAGGACTATAAAGAAGCTTGAAAAACCACGGCCGCTTAAGCTTAATCAGCGCAACCCGACCGTCGATGGGCGGATCACGACTGGTAAATTTTTCGTTACTTATTTTCCTGTCGAGTAAAATTTGAATTCTCCTTAAATGATGGTTTCACCCAGAAACATAGTTATATTTTTATGTAAACTTATTAGGAATACGTGTAGATACATTTTATGTATGTGTGTGTAACAATTTGTTTGTGTAACAATTTTTCTTTCTCGTATCAGGTAAATGATGACCAAACTTTATTTCTTCTCATCTTTCAGTAGAGGATATAGTATCCTTAATCGACAATGTTGCCATGCAACTGACCAATGGCTTCCATGATCGAACGCTGCAAATGAATGTGATTTCTATGTGCAGTCATCTGAAGCTTTATGCCAACCAATTAGAAGCTATTTACAAAGGTAAATGATATGTTATTATATATCGAATTTATTTTGTTTTTTCTTTTTTTCCTTTTTTTTTTTTTTTTTTTGTTTAGCTATGTCTTTTCTCAGCGTAGCTCTTTATAATGAAACAATGCCTATCGGAAGCTTCATTTTCGATAAGCAATTAAGTTCAGTTAATTAGCCAGTATTTTTCTCGCACGTAGAGTTTCTTAATCGAATTGAAATATTTTCAATTAACACTGTGTGTTAATAATTATTTGAATGCTGTAACAAACATTCAAGTGACAACTTGTGAGCGAAGCAGAGTAAATTAATCGGGACTTTCAGGCTATCTAAACTATCGAATTCTCGGCTGTATTATTCACGAGGAGGCTGAAAGATGACAGAATTGGTCTCATATTTTCGCGCAAACTCTCTCGATAAGAATAGCGTTCCGCAACAACCGGTTCGGCGTTGCTGTAACTATGCGCGATATTCTTTCCAGTAACGAGCAAGAAGGGTGGCCCAGAAGGGGGTAGGCGCGCGGCAAGAGCCGGCAAATTAATTTCGTTGTACCGTGAATGTTCGCAGCACGAGCCGTACGCAACCTGGCTAACGAGCTTCCACGAGTTAAAAGTGAGCGCTTCGCGTTGAGGATTAAGATATCGCGCGGATTACTATACGGCGCGGTACGCGCTCGAATGAGAGGGCAAGAGGGAATGGCCGCGCGAGGAAGGGGACGGCGCAGGGGGCGGCGGAGGAAGGTCGGCGAGAGGGGGCAAGGAAATCCGGCGAGGAGATCTTAATGTACACCCCACCGGTGTATTAACATCCCTTAAGAGGGGCCGACTAATTGCGCAAAGCCATATAATCCCCAGATTCCGCGTAACGAAGCCACACCGCGGTGGATTATATCAATTAGAGGCTCGAGCAAGTGCGAGAGAGATGGGGGCGATATACTATATACACGAGATATACCGCACGCGGGAGAGCTAACGTCGAATGAGGGTGGAGGGAAGGAGGGGGAGAATTCGCGCCGGTGGTGTACTCGGAGGCCGTAATGCCGGCGCTTGTACACCTGGTCGTAACGAGTGTTAAGTGTTACGGCTGGCTAAAAGGACGAGATGGTAGAATGAGGAAGGATACACGACAGGAAGCTAATTATAATAATCTGTCGGGGCTATAGGGGCCCCGATGAATGACGGCTCCGTGTTCCTTGTAGTTAAGAGAAAATCCGTGGCCTTTTCTTGCGGCGCGCGGCCAGATAACACACTCACCACGTTCTCTAATCCGTCGACCGTGTATGGCGTGTATTTACCCCGCTGTATATTTGCAGTTATTCCGCTAATATCATCTCCGGTCTTGGTTAATGCGCTATCGCGAAACGGCGGAGCGGCCCGACACGCACGTGTCACCGCGGGGTACGCCGGATGACAAGATGCATCGGGAGGAACACATGTAACCGCACGATCGCGTAGCGGCTCTCGATCTCGAGATACGAATATACAGTTAGCTATTGTAATTCGCGAATAATTTTTTAATCTTTCGCGTAAATGTACCGAAGAATATAATACAAAAAATGTACGATATATATAATACGTCGCGACGCTAGACACGCGTATATCGCAAGGGCAGTCGTGCATTTAATTGTTTTATTTTTATTCGATTCACGCGGGACGAGATCCACGAATACATTCCGGACGTTTCGGTGGGCGAGCAATCTGCAGCGAGCAGCGTGCTTTATCTGCAAAGTACGCGAGGAGTCGCAATTATGCGGAGGGACTCTCTCATTCGTCATCCGCGGTGGTGATCGCTTATCAGCGGTCGTTCGTTTCGGTAGCAATATGTCCTACGTGCGGCGTGCAAGTTGGCGAGCGACCGGTCGGCTACCCAGAATTTCTCGAGGCCGGCCTCGGACGATCGGTGGCTGCATTAACGTCAAACGATCGCGTCGTCGCAAAGAGAAAAACAAAACAATAATAATCTCGACAACGAGGCAATGTCTGTACGAATCGAAGGGGCGGGAGAAGGGATACCGCGCGAAAGGGCAGAAGAGTAACTGGGTGGACTGTCGGGGATCGATGGAAGAAAAAGAACGAGAAAGAAACGCGATCGTGTAACGGCGAGAACGTGTCTTTCTCGGCCCGCGTTCACGTTGCACGATTGAACCAATAATGAGTTAAATGCAATTAGGCCCCGCCAATATGCCCTGTCGGTGGGTATGTACGGGCGTGAGAATGAAATATTGTAATTCATTTGGCGCCCCCAGGCTTGGACAGGATGCATTACCCATTCCGCATTGCGCGATAGCGCCCAAAACCCTTTGCACACCCGGGACCGTAGCGTGGAACGCGCGTATGCAAGAAACATTCACCATGCGTGTATGTGTGTGTGTGTGTGTGTGTGTGTGTGTGTGTGTGTATTCGTGCGTTGCCCTTACGTCTGTATGCGTAAGCGCGAACGGAGGTATGACCTCAGATGGATATCGGTTAATAGCTTTTTTCGGGCGAGGTTTCAGCAAGAGAGACAGAGGGAATGAGAAAAATGAGAGATAGAAAGAGAGAAAGAGAAGCAAAGATACGTGGAGGGTAGAGGAAGAAAGATAGAGTAATATACAAAAGAGACAGAAGGGAGAGATGCTGCAACGGTTCTAGCTCCTTCTCCCTTCGCCTCTTTCCTCTCTGTCTGTCTGTCGTCTCTTTTCTCTCTCTTTTTTTTTTCTCCGTTGTACTGGCAATGCGGCTCTTATACATGCAACCGCTGTTCTGTAGCGGCAGCGACGACTAGCGACGAGAGGAACCAGGAATTGTTTAACATACGATAATGGTCGATTCCGCCTTTTTGTTCGTGTCATCCTGTTACACGTGTGATACAGTGACGTAGTGCTGTTGCGCGTTTGTCCTCCGACGATAAGAGCGCGCACGCGGGCATGCGGCGCGGCGTAGGTGCGTGCATGTGCTCGCTCGCTCGTACGCACCGTGTTCGCCGGCGTGCGTGTATGCGATCGGCCGTGTACGCACGCAACGAGGATGCGCCGGGAAGTTAGGATTAGCTCTCTTTTAAGTTAAAGCCCGCGGGGGCTGCTTACCTCTTTCTCTCCTGCGCCATGCCGCGCCGTAAGATTCCGGGCGAACGTTAAACGTAGAATGAAACAAGAAACATCTGTTGCCTGAGAATACTAAAATTACGCCGGCGCCATAAAAGCTTCCTTACCGCGGATTTAAATATTCGCGCGAGAAACCCGTTGCGGGCAAAGTTTCTCGTAATCTTCTTAACGCTCTATTGTCCACGTTTATTATATTCAGGTATCTATATGTATATCTAAACACGATAATGTACTGAATGTGAAAGTACGTAATTTTATAATGTAATTAATTTACATATGAGTTAAAATATACTAATATTTAAATTGAAACACGCTTTACATCTGTAATCAAAGCGTTTCTGTTTTCGCACAAGATTGAGCGATATTTGCATAGACCCCATGGTGATGTGTTACCAAATTGATTTATCCTAATCTTACACGCTCGATTTCTCACGGATTCGACGCTTTGACGAAATTTCTTTGTGCGGCCGTTCCTTTTTAAGGGCTGAACAAAGGAACGATTCCTCGGCACGTTTGTCACAGTCGGTTTCTCTTCTAGGCGAGCCTGCCTCTAGCTGGCGTGGAGGTGAGGTAATTAGACGGTTCACCGGCCCGGCTTCCAAAACGAGCTCTGTCCGGTGCGTTTACTAATGAAAGGGAGTGACTAACGACAGATTATTAATATTGCTCGGCGATCTCGATCTCCCATCTAGCACGATATTAAGCATCTCACGCATGAGGCCGGTTTCCTACCTCGTAGTCTGTGATATCCGCAGCGCGCGGTACACGATGGCTAATTAGAAGGGTCAGAGGCAAAGAAAACCCTTCGGTAAGATAGACCGTATCGCCGAAGAGGAAACATTACGTCAACCATTCGCTCATTAGTTGACGTTCGTTGTATCACGCCATCGATATAATCAGCGATTACTTTTCTCGTGGTTAGGAAAGATAATTTTCTGATTTTTAATGGTTGACTAAAATTGACTCAATATCTAAATAGCTAAAGCAATAATTAAATTACTTAATCCAGTTTTTATTAACAATAGCGGTGTTTGACGCGCATCATGCGCGCCTTATGAAGCTGGGTGAAGTTTATTATATTAAAATCTTCATCACGTGTGGCAATATTAAAGCACGCGTGTTGAACATGTTGGTGATTAACGATGTCGAACGCTTCCACGAAAGTGGCAAGATAATTGGGCAACGATGACATTAAGGGACTTAGTGCTAAACCTCTCGTTATAATTACTGACTTTCTCGCTCGCTTAACAACAAGAGAAAAGAAGAATAGACACTTGAGTTGCCTGTCTTGCGGAATTAATTAGTCGTCTTCTCTCCATGAGAACGGTGAGGATGGTAAGGACGAGGAGGAGGACTCTTCGTAGAGCAGACTCGCATCGCGCGAGCATCGGCTCATTAATCTCCTGCAGTAATTGCGACCATATTCTGAGGGAGCGTGGTTAAGATTCTCTTCTCGGCTACCTCTTCTCCTTCTCTTCCTCCTTCTCACGCAGTTCCTTTTTCCTCTTGATTCTTCTTCACTTCTTCTTCATCTTCTTCCACGTCATCTGCAGCAAGGGATAAAAAAAAAGGAAGAGGGGCGAGCGCAGCGAGAAAGAACCTCGATACCTGTCCATCAGCGCCGATCGATTGCCAATAATAGCGCTCGCCCGGGTCCCGATCGCCGATCTTCGGCAAGTTTTTAACGTTTCGGGGTGCTCATTAATTTCCCGCGATGCTTCGCGCTTCGGACGGCAATGGACATCGCTTCTGCGCGCGAAATTGCGACACGACACATTTCTCGCTGCACTTCTTCCGCTTTTTCTTCTTCCTCAGTATCATTGTACTCCGTACTCCGTCGGTATCATCCAGAATTTCTTAATTATGCATTCTTCCTACTACATTTCTTAGGTGACGGTAAATTAATTATGAACTTGCATATTATTTGAAT